ATCAGTTGGGAATTGTTGTCCCGGAGCTGCTCCAGTTCCTTATCATGATAATCCATGGTGGCAGTGGTTACATCCATGCGGGCCTCCAGGTCTGCCGTGCGTTTTCCCAGCTCCCGGATTTCCCGTGTCACCTTGTCGGTGATCTGTTTAGAGGTGGTCTGTAATGCTTTCTGGAGCATTCTATCTATGCGCCAGGGCCTCCTTGACGGAGCGGGACCCGAGCCGCGAGTGGGAGCCCGACACCGACATGGGTAGGTGCCGCTCAGTATCCGGTACTCACTGCGGATGTTTTTAGGGTGTCAGCTACCGCGATGTGTACGGTATGTCCGTTACGGTCTCGGCGGGGTGCAGAGCGAGGTTAAGCCGCGGCCATCTTGTCTCGCCGCGCGCATGCGCCCCCGTGCCCGGTTATTTCTTATCCAATGAGGTGCACAGGAAGTCTTGTGTCTGGTTATTTCTTATCCACTGAGGGGCACAGGAAGTCTTGTGTCTGGTTATTTCTTATCCACTGAGGGGCACAGGAAGTCTTGTGTCTGGTTATTTCTTATCCAGTGAGGGGCACCGGAAGTCTTGTGTCCGGTTATTTCTTATCCATTGAGGGGCACAGGAAGTCTTGTGTCCGGTTATTAATCATTGAGGGGCACAGGAAGTCTTGTGTCTGGTTATTATCCATTGAGGGGCACAGGAAGTCTTGTGTCCGGTTATTTCTTATCCATTGAGGGGCACAGGAAGTCTTGTGTCCGGTTATTTCTTATCCAATGAGGGGCACAGAAAGTCTTGTGTCCGGTTATTATCCATGGAGGGGCACAGGAAGTCTTGTGTCCGGTTATTATCCACGGAGGGGCACAGGAAGTCTTGTGTCTGGTTATTATCCATTGAGGGGCACAGGAAGTCTTGTGTCCGGTTATTTCTTATCCAATGAGGGGCACAGAAAGTCTTGTGTCCGGTTATTATCCATGGAGGGGCACAGGAAGTCTTGTGTCCGGTTATTATCCACGGAGGGGCACAGGAAGTCTTGTGTCTGGTTATTATCCATTGAGGGGCACAGGAAGTCTTGTGTCCGGTTATTATCCACGGAGGGGCACAGGAAGTCTTGTGTCCGGTTATTATCCATTGAGGGGCACAGGAAGTCTTGTGTCCGGTTATTATCCATTGAGGGGCACAGGAAGTCTGTCGGGTTATACTGCCGCCTAGAGGAGTATTGGATACTGGCAAACAAAATGAAAATGTTGACCAGTCCAGGATAACTCCTCCTACTCCCAGCATGCCTTGGGTCCAGCTACCCAGATTGTCCTGCCCAAGCCCTGACTGAGGCATGCCATACCCGCACCTTGCTGGGCTAGATGCTTGGGGGCTACCCTGGAATGGGATTTTCGGTCCATTGATCTCTGCATTGCGGCAGTTTCCGGACCCATTTGTTGAGAACTCTCCAGGTCCAGTGTACCTGAGCACTGTCCCCATCTCTGTGCATGGTCCTGGAGGCATTCCCGGAAGCTCTCTGCCTCTGAAATGTGTTCCTTGGTTCCAGCACCGCACTCCTTGAAGCACACTAGCCCAGCCCACAGATTGGAATATGAGAGGGAGGTTGCACAGCCCAGGATCGCATACTTACATACACTATATTGCCAGAAGTATTGGGACGCCGTTACACGCACATGAACTCTAATGGCGTCCCAGTCTTAGTCCGTAGGGTTCAGTATTGGGTTGGCCACGCCCTTTGCCGCTATAACAGCTCCGCCTCTTCTGGGAAGGCACCCACAAGGTTTAGGAGTGTGTCTATGGGAATGTTGGACCATTTGTGAGGTCAGGTACTGATGTTGGGGGAGGGGCTCGCAGTCTCCGCTCTAATTCATCCCAAAGGTGTTCTATGGGGTTGAGGTCAGGACTCTGTGCGGCCAGTCACGTTCCTCCTCCCCAAACTCCCCCATCCATGTCTTTATGG